TTAGTGCTTTAAAAAAAACTTCATTTGACTGCTCAGGTCACAGTTGTGGCATGCAGAATGTTCATCCTGGCTTGTGAAATCTTTGTTGCATCACGAAGGGTCTCTTGTTGAGGTGCACGATTCTTTAGTTGTGATGCATAGGCTTAGGTGCTTCTTGGCATGTGGGATCTTAGTTCCCCTACCAAGGGTTGAACCCGCATCCTCTGCATTGCAAGGCAGATTCTTAGCCACTGGACAACCAGGGAAGTCTCTAGTGCTTTTAAAAATAATTTTTCACCTAAGTACTGCTTTAGATGAATCTCACAAATTTTGATGTTTTTGTTTTCAGTTTACCATTTTTTTTCATTCTTTTCTGTGATTTGTATTTAGAATTATGTGGTTTAGTTTCCAGATATTTGGGAGATTTTCCAGATATCTGTATATTATTGATTTCTATTTTAATTTCATTGTGATTAGAGAAATATTTTGGGCAATTTGCATTCTTTTACATTTATTGAGACTTGACTTATGGCCCAGACTAAGGCCTATTTTAATAATATCCCATGTGCACTTGAAAAGAAAGTGTATTCTGCTGTGTTGGGTGGGGTCCCTGGTAGCTCAGCTGGTAAAGAATCCGCCTGCGATGCAGGAGACCCTGGTTTGATTCCTGGGTCGGGAAGTTCCCCTGGAGAAGGGATAGACTTCCACTCCAGTGTTCTTGGGCTTCCCTGTGGCTCAGCTGGTAAAAAACCCACTTGCAATGCGGGAGACCTGGGTTTGATCCCTGGGTCGGGAAGATCCCCTGGAGGAGGGCATGGCAACCCACTCCAGTATTCTTGCCTGAAGAATCTACAGCCCATGGGGTCGCAAAGAGTCAGACTGGACTCAGAGACTAAGCAGAATTTACTAAGTGACAAATTTAAGGTCAACCTTAAGGTCAAGTTGGTTGACAGTGTTGTCTTAATATTCTTTCCTTTTTCAAATTTAAACATTTTAGTTGCTATTTCTTCAAAAAAATTTGTTTTCTATCCCCTGCTCCCACCTTCCATTCTATGACACATGTGTGTGTGTGTATTGGTGTTTTTCCTTTTGTGTTTGCTTTATTTGGTTTCTATTATTTATTAATCTTTTATTCTGCAGTGTCTTATAAACTATTAATCCCACCTAGTGTATTTTTCATTTCATTGTATTTCATCAAAGTGACCTCACTTTGTTCTACTTAGCATGCTTAACCTTTCCCCTACCTTTTTGAACATCTTAACTGTTTTTATAATGTTTTAATATCCTTGTTCTATACTTCTATCATCTGTGTCATTTCTGTTGACTGAGTATGGGATTATAATTCCCTGCTTCTTTGCTCATCTGGTCATTTTTGTATCTGAGGCATTTAAAAGTTTGTTGATAGGTACTAGAAAAAAATATGTGTTCAGTTACTTATAATAGATTGTATTTTTATATATTTATTTTACATACATATATACACACATGTATGTAAAAATAAATGTATATATAAATATTTTACATACATATATACACACACATAGGCTTCCCTGGTGGCTGAGGTGGTAAAGCATCTGCCTGCAATGCTGGAGACTTGGGTTCAATCCCTGGGTCAGGAAGATCCCCTAGGTCAGGAAATAACACCTCACTCCAGTACTCTCGCCTGGAAAATTCCATGTACAGAGGAGCCTGGTGGGCTACAGTCCACATGATCACAGAGTCGGACACAACCGAGCAACTTCACACACAAAAAAACAGGAAATACACACCCATATGTAACTATACACATGTGGGTGTGTATATAATTATGTGTTTGTAGGTCATGTGAGTAATTTACTATTAGCTTTTTCACTGGGATACATGAAGTTACTTAGAAACCTTCTGCTCTTTTCCAGGCTTACCTTGAGGAATGTAGGCAAAACCAGCCCAGGCTTCCTTTTAGTGCCCGTCCGGCCTCACGGTGGACCAGCGGCCGTGCGGGCACTCTCCCGGTGCCCTGCTGTTGCCTGCTGCACAGCCCGCAGGCTGTGGGGCATGTGGCTAGTCCAGCCCCAACAGGCCTCCAGGGACCGATCCACCTGCCTCTTTCCAGTGCTTCCTGTCCTGGCCTCGGGAGTCTCAGCAGCCTCTGCTGACCAGACCCAGTGGGACTGGGGGCAAGCGTTCTGCAGACAGCCACGCTCCTGCTCCCCAGGGTGATGCCCCATGACTTCCAGGTGTCTTGTCCTCCCCGAGTTCTTAGCTCGGAGGCAGCAGGGCTGTGTGTGTTCCCCTCCCAGGGGTGTAGCCTTGAAACACGCATCAGGAAGGAATCTGGGGCTCACATCTGTCTCTCTTCTTGGAGATCTGTCCTGTGCACCTCTTTCCCAACATCTAGAAACTACTTTTTCAAATGTTTTGTCTGGTTTTTACGGCAACAGAGAAACCCAGGCCTTGCGGCTTTAGCCGTATTTCCTTAGGTGGTGAATACACGCTGGGCCAGCCCGTGCTTCTGACTGGGAGGGACTAGACCCCCCTGCCCTATTCCATCTGTGGAAGCCAGGAGATCCTGCTCTGTAAAGGGAGCAACCAGTGTTCATTTGCACTTCATTTTTTACCCAACTGACCAGAATAGAGAGTCCTACTCCCATGATTTTTGTAAGGCTCCCAGAGTCTCAAAAGCTTCTGAAAAACATTTTTAAAGCCAACATTTCAATTTCACTGACAAAAAGGAAGGGTATATACCTGAGGCATAAATACCTGGAAATGAAGAAAACTATTGGAAACAATGGTTTAGGATGCCTGCTCAGCTCTCAGAAGGTGAGTCCTCACTCCGAGGTTCACAGCAGGTTGAGACGATGCCCAGGGCTTGGCCTGAGTGGTTTCTGGTGCTGCTGTGACCGCTTCCTCTGGAGACCTCACCGAGCAAGGCCTGGCAAAGGGGGAGGGGTCTGAACTGCCCCCCAACCCACTTTGTATTACATAGAAAACCACTCTGCTGTGGTGATGAGCTGGCCACCAGCCTGTACCCCACGCTTCAGTCGGGCCAGGACAGGGCCTTGCAGCAAAGCAGCGTGTAGCTTCCCACTGGCCGTCACCTTTGCCTGAGCAGTGGACTCTGCCTCAGAACTGCTGTTAAGAGCCTGCAGGATATTCCTGAGCTAAGGAAATCGAGAAAACACTGAATCCTCAAGTGGTCATGATGATGAATGTGTTAATCTTAGGGAAAAGGAAGGGGAACAGATCAAAGCGGCTTCATATAATTTTCACAGTGGCTTCTGTACAATTGGGATCCTGTTTTTGCTTTTTTTAATGAGAATGAGAAAATAAAATCAGTACCTTGAAGCCATGTGAGAAATAGACCAGGAAAAATATACCTCCTGCCCTTGAGAAGGGCAGGTGCTGAATTAGGAAAAGAGAATGAAGCTTACTGAGAAAACATTTAGAAAACCAGAAACCTTTTAATCCTTAATCTGAGTTGACTGAGTAGAAGTCACTTTATTGTGTTAATTTGAACCTTTGGCTTTTGGGGGACCCATGACTGTTGGAGCTACATGAGGAAGGCTTCAGACTTGTTAGCAAAGTGGGGTGAAATGCAGGTGACCTATGCCACCTCCCCTCATGATATTAATAATATTTACGATGGAATTTACATTTATGTGTTTTAGGGTCCTCTGAACGGAGCTGTGCAGTTAGTGGGGTCTTTCTGTTCCCTAATTTCACATCAGACTTGAGGGGAGAGGGTGTGACGCCTCTCATGGATGAGCAAATGGGGGTTTCAGAATCAAGAAAGGCTGAGTGGCTGGGCCAGTTCTCAGCCGCAAGGACCCACAGGAAATGGAGGCTGCTGACTCCGCATTCTGTCAGGACATGCCGTCCCCGCCGGGACTGGTGGATACATCGGCCCAGTCCTGGGATGGCTGTAATTTGCAATCATCTCCTTGTTCTGCCCCACTCAAGCCCTCTGTACCCGCCGGAGTCTGTAAGTGGCACAGTGGTGTCTCCCCAGAAGGCAGCAGGGCTGGGAGCAGGGGTCAGGCCAGGCGGCACCTGCAGAGGTTGAGAGGATGCCGCTGGGCATTCCCACAGCTACCCACGGCTGACTGCAATCATCCCATGCTTGGCTAACGATACTTTTGCAAAAAGCAGCATAAATCACCTCAGTTCGTGTAAGGAAGGGCAAAAACTTGCTAAGAAAATGTTCCTGGGGATTGGTCCTCCTGACTGTAGAAGGTGCCTGGCTTTACAGTCAGCTTAGGCGTGAGGGGCAGAGGTCAAGCGTCAGCCTTCTAACAATCACGATGCCTTGTGGCACTTAATGGCCGAGTCTTTAACAATGACTTTGTTAAACTACAGATTAGATAGTAATGGCTTTTCCTTAAGGTCAGATCATTTAAGGAAACTGACACTAATCTGTTTCCCTGAAAAATGAAATACAGAAACCAAATTTATCAAATGGGCTGATATCTCCTGAACTTACAGCCCCGACCCCCTTAAGATGGAATCAAATTGAAAACTTCCAGCAAATGATGATCACAGAGTATTCATTTCCCAGCTAACTGACTTGACTTGTATTGCGCAGTCTTCTGACCCCAAGGGCCATCAGAGCAGTGCTGCCTTCGGCAGGGGCACAGGGAGGTTATCAGAGGTCCGGCAGGGTAGGGACTCCCCCAGGGACAGGCAGTCTGTGCGCTTTTCAGCTGCGTTCAGCCTCAGTCATTCCCAGAGGGTGAAAGCGGAGGTAGGATGACGTCCATGAACTGCACCTGCTATTTTAACAACATGCCAGACTTTATACTTTACAGTTGGCCCTCCCCACCCCCGGGCACAGACCTTGATCGGGGCAGCAGACTCTGGTGTCAAGGCAGACTGTCCTTCTGAGACTGTCAAGCAGGTAATGCTCTGGGTCACCTCTGTGAACCAAGACTTGGCCCAAAATAGGTACTGAAAAAACAAGTTCTGATGTGACCAAAATTATATATGTATATTTTTTTAAGTACACCAATATCTTAGACTTTTTTTTTTTAACTTTTCTTATAAAGGATTTGCTGTAAGCCTTCAGGTCATCTTGTCCAACCCCAAAGCTGTATTTAAGCGCCGTGGGTCCCAGCCCGGGATGCAGGAATCTGACTTTTTGAGACAGATCACGACCGTTGAAGAACTGGAACCAAAAGCAAGTAACTGCACCAAGGTACTCCCTTCACTTATGCCAACTGCCCTCGCCCTTACCCTTGCCATGTGTCCGCCTGAGCGTGCCTACCCACCAGGTCTCCCTCCAGGTCCTCGTGTGGCACACTCGGACGGAGAAGGCAAACCTCGCCAACGAGCCCAAGTACCACCTGGACACCGTGACGATTGAGGTGTGACGGGGCTGCCCTGCGCCTCGGCTCTGGGACGCCGCACGGCGGGTGCAGATTTGGCTCCTGTCTCCATTTGTTCTGCATGTTCCCCTACGACCTGGACACTCTGTACAGTACAGCTGAGGGCACGCAGGGTACCACTCTGAGAATCTTACTTTTATTCCCCCCGTTTGGCCTTATAATTGTTACAACTGAACAGGTTTTTGAAATAGATGACAAGTTCCCAATTGTGACTTTGCAACGTGAAGTAATTTTTGTCAGGTTGCTGGCAGTATATGTCACAGGAAATAAAACCCACACAAAAAGGTCTATGGATTCATCTGTTTAATACAGGGATATGACATCTGTCAGTACTAGGCACCATAAAATGTAAACACAATCACTGTCATAAACCTGGATACACCTTCAAGGACTGAGTGGCTTGTTGAGTTACCCTGTTTGCGTCTAGTGCGGAGAAAGGTCTCTTGCTAGCACTATGTACACATGGGAAAGGATCCCAACTCCAAGGAAGGCAGGTAAATTCTGACTTCTTCAAACACGCGTTCAACTAAGTTGTGTCATAACACCCAGGTTTATCTTCCTTTCACTAACCACGTTCCCTGTTAAGCACATCATAACAACAGCACAGTGAGGTGAATGTGACATAAAAGAGTCTGGGTACACTAGAAAACAGTGCTCAGTGATACATGGACATTCTATTTATATGATTAAACATTTGATCATACAGTACCTTCCTACAGGATTACTGGCTAATCTGGGGGTGGGGCTCATACTGTTAGAGGTATTACTAACATGATAACTACTTCCCTTATATGCAAACATGAGAGCTATAATTTCATCAAGAGGGAAACTGATTATGCACGTTGACTGAGCAGCTTCCCAGAGACTGTGTCTGCGAAATCCTGGGAACTGTGAGCAAAGCTGCCCTCGACAGGGACGGTTTCTCAACCTGCTTTTCACCACAGCACATTCAATCAAACAGACCAATACGGTCAATCAGGTCTTCATATGAACAAAGGGGGGGAAAAGAAAAAACAGGTATGTACATGAATGGACAGGGGAGGCAGGTGTGTCTGAGCGGGAACGCTGACGGGGGCTCACTTCCACAGCTGCGTGCTGAGCGTCTGCCCCGACGAGCTCCCGGACCACCCCGCGGCCCCCGCCGAGGTGCTGGGCGACGGCCCGAAGCCCGCTGCCGATGCCACGCCACCCAGGCTCAGGCCAGCCATCTGCTGGTTCACCTGCGAACACAGAAAAGCCGCCTTAACTTCCAGCCCTTGTTTCTTCAGCCACCGCTACACCCTGTTTCACAGCCAGCCTATTTCACCAGAGGCAGCCTTTACTTGAAGTTGACACAGTCAGACTTGGAAGTGTAATAACCGTTCTAAGTACTTTTCATCCATGTGAAAAGCAATCCGAACCCTGGGGTAAAAGCAGACGACCACACAATGCTTTCTCGTGGCCTCCATTTCCTTCCATGTGTTAGCCCTGCCCACCAAGTGATCTCAAATCAGCTTATAGTTATTCATTTTCTGGCCTCAGTTTCTTGTCCCCCAAAGACGAACCACAAGTGAAAAAGTACCAAGGCAATCTTTGAATACTACTCCAGCTTTCAACTACACGAGAACAGAGTGCTTTTAGCTACTGAAGACTAAGGGAATGTTTGAAGGTAAAATACTCCAAACCATGCATGGTGTATGACGGCAATTCTCCTGCCAATACTCAAGTCTTTAATACCTCTGTGTACTTTCTAAATAGTAAAAAGTCATAAAACATATTTCTCTTTTGCTTAGCCACCTACATAAATATCTAAAGTTAATTTTCATATATGACAACAGGTGTAGGGTTGCATGTACTTTTCTTCCAGACTGGAGTCGTGCGTGTACATGATAAGCCTCCTGTGCTTCGTTATGTCTGGCCCTTTGCCGCCCCTGCATGGCAGCCCACCAGACTCCTCTCTCCATGGGATTCTCCAGGCAAGAACACTGGAGTGGGTTGCCACTTCCTGCTCCAGGGGATCTTCCCATCGCAGGAACTGAACCTCTGTCTCCTGCACTGGCAGGCGGATTCTCTACCACAAGGACCACCAGGGCAGCTCCTGAGCCTTCCCCTTCTCACTTCTAAGACTGATGGGGAGTGACGGAAAGGCAGGGAGATTTACCACAAAGTACAGTGGACTCAAACCTGTGCTCAGGGTTGAACGGTATTAATAAAAACAGTTCATCTGTCTGCAGTTCTTCAAAGACAGTAATATTAACCACATCACCGGTGAGGCATTGTGTTTGGAGGGGCAGGCCACTTCTTCCCAGGTGCTAAAGGATGTTTTAACCCCCTTCCATGGCCCGCAAGAGCGTCCCCTTTGGCACGCCCAGAAGTAAGGCAGGTAAGCGCCCCCCCCCGCCGGTTCAGCAGCCACCCTAACCTGAGCAGGGTCTGCACCAGCATTCTGGCCACACAAAGGTTCTTACTGACATTTGGTACTTACAATTCCCAGGGAGCAGAGACCAATGTCATTTAAACACTCCTTTAAACAGTGATAGTAAAAATTACTTGAAAAATTCATGGGCTATACAGTGATTTTGCTAATGTTAATTAAAAATCACTATACACAGTCCTATTCTCTGAATGCTGCTGAGAACAGAAATCAAGGGCAGCCAGATACAAGAGGAACATCAAGCACGAAGCATACAAAGAAGAAAGGTGGGAGACGAACCTGCGTCTGAGGTCTCTGTCTATGGAGCCAGAGAGAAGTCAGAATGGGTTTGAAAGAGGAAACACTAACATGCCGTCTCCCAGCTCTGAACTAACAGGCAGAAATGGGATCTCGTAACATGAGACGTAGGACACAAATAAGGACTTGTTCGTATCTTACGGTAATTACTGAACTAGTGGGTATGCTTTTTAAACATAAATGTGATTATAATGTAAGAAATACAACTCTACACACATATTTGAACAAAAAGATTATACATCCATGCACAGTAGCCATGGAGAACAGCCTAGATCTCTCAGAAACAGTGCTGTGAGAATGCAAGACTAGGTTTGTTTTTTTCTAATTTGTGAAAGTTACCAAGAACCCTTGAAATTATTAGCAAAGATAGATTGATCTAAGTTGTCTACACAAACTCCTAACCAAGGAGCTGGGTTAAGGCTTGGCACGCTAATTTCAAAAGATGCCCAAGATAATGCCTGTCTGTTATACAAACAAATGAGGGACTCTCACCATTACAGCTGTGCTGGCATCCAAAATAGAAACCACACAACAGTCTCTACAGGATGTTCTAAACACAGGCGCAATGGCAGCTCATTTGTCTATTTGATCAGACAGTTTTGACCTTTTATAACATTATCCCACTCAATTCTTTCTGCCACACTCTTCAGAGTTAAAAACAAACACACCCGTTGAGCAGACAGACCTGGTCTGACCCTGGAGAGGTGGGGGTGGGGGGTAGGTGCCTACCTGGGGGAGGTTCCACGGGCTCTGCGGAGCTGGCTGCAGGCCAAATTTCCCCTGGGCTGCGCCCATGTGCGCGACCATCCCTGGGGGCCCGACCATGCCCTGCGCGAGTGGCATTACAGCAGTCTGCGTGCTGCCCATGAAGCCGTTGGGCACCGGCACGCCCACCATCATGCCCGCGCTCGGCCCCAGCGAGCTGCCCACCAGGCCGGGTGCCGCGGGCACAGGCACACCCATGGACGGGAAGCCTGGAAACGCAGCCGGTGTTTGTGAGGTAAACGGTAGATTCGTGGGTCCCATAAACACACCTGCAGCAGAAGAACCAAACAAAGAAACGCGTGAGACAACAGGGCTATTGCACACTGCTGCCCTCAGTGAGCACAGACAAAGGACGCCCACCTCTAAACTGCCCACGGCAAAAACTTTAATTCCGGTCTGGCTGCTCCTACAGCTCAGGCCAGCTCTCACCTATACCCTCAGAGCCAGTTACTTCCAGAAAGCAGACAAATCAGCTACGAGCCAGAGCAAATTAGCGGGGATGAATCTTCTGCAGCGGCCACAGAACATGCCCACTGTGAAGACAGGACGACAGAGCAGGGGCTGCTGCTGCTCTGCACACTCATCTCTCACAACCAGGTAAACAGTCGGAGACGACAGCGTCTGGCTTTAATGGAAGCAGCTGGGACGTCATATAATTTCAGTTCACGTGAGATGCAGCCCATTATTTCAGAGGAAATGACAGATTAAAACTGCAAACAGTAAATCTTAGCATGCTAGTATTTCTTTATAATTATATTAAAAAAAAAACCTCAGAGTTCTTTTGATTTCATGTGTTATCTCAGACTTACTGCTTAACTTAGAGAAAAAAATACCACAGTGTACAGTTATAAGCTTCATGCAAATCAAGCTTAAATAATGCTTCAAAGATAATCCATTTCCTGTAAGGCTTGTGAAACAATATTAAGTAATATGACACCAAGCTGTTAATCCCAAATGAATAAACTGTTGTGCATCCTGTCTATGCTTTCTATTTCCTAATGCTTCTTTCTTTTTTCCCTAATGCTTCTTTCATGTCAGTTTTGTAGTTGTGCAAACTGCAACAACAGAAGCACTCATTACACAGGAATAATAGGGAAGAAATATAATTGACATTCTAAAACCACAACGGATGCACTGAAAGCAGGTTTCCGGTGAATTACCAGGAGCACTCTGCTGCTGGATGGCCCCGGCGCCATACAGAGACAAGATGGAGTCTTTGGAGAGCTGCTTCTTGGCCACCTCTTCTGACTTTGCAGCTTGCTCCGTGAACAGATCCAGATCCCCAGATGTCACTGCAGACAGAGTGGCAGCTGCTGGTGCGGAGGACGTCCCCTGAGACAGATACCAAAACAGGGTGTTGAATTCCACATCACAAACCAGAGCTCACCCATCCTTGGAATCCACATGAAGCTGTGAAATTAGAAACTAAACCACCACAGAAGGTGAAATGGCGACACTGAAGAGAATCACTCCCAAGCCCACGCAGGACCAACAAGCAGGTAAAGGGGTGACACTTCCTGTTTTGAATCTGTAAATGTAAACGAAGCAGACAGAACCTCTGATGCAGAACTTTGCCCATCACATCCTGACCGCAGTGGCTTCAACAACAGGCACGTGGTGCGGCCCGAGGACCAGGATTCCTGGGGGATGTCTGGGCATCTCCTGCAGCAATTACTGCTTCAAAGGAATGGGGATCCCTTAGAATAAAGAACATTTCTATAGCTACAGCAGACTGCAAGAAGGTCCCATAATGACTGGTTTTGTCATCTCTGGGAGAAAAAAAAGTTTTGTTCTTCAAAAGCAACATCATGATATTTTTATGAACCTAATCCAATTCATTTTAACCACAACATTAGAATGTTTCCAGACTACCCAGCAATGAGGAACAGCAAAAGTGCAACCACCTACACTCTCCCTGACACTTTGCATTCTGCTATGGACAGGGATTAAGTACAAATAAATACAAATATACATGGGAACATTTAACACAAAACAAAAATTTTCACTTAATCTCCTATATCTTACACACACATGCTATGACACAGCCACAACTGATACCTCATTTTAATGATCTATATGGTCATTAAATACTTAATCACAGTTGTATATAAGGAATTGACTTAGATACCAAGTTTCAAAGAAATCTATGAAGGCTAGTAAAAAGTGGGTAAGTCTTCTCAAATTATAAAATAACGTGAGCAGCAAACAGAAGTTAAATCATGTCTATGATTTGGCTTGAATTTTTTAAACAATCAAACATTTAATGTCTTCACTAAAAAAACCTTCCAATAAATTAGAATCCTAGCATTATGCTCACAAGCTAACTTAAGGAGAACAATATTTTGAATCTATTATAACAAATTAAGCAAGAATTTTAAGATAGGAAAAAAAAGCCACATATCTTTGCAAAAGATCTGAAATGTGTAAGAAATCAGACATGATGGGATTCAAATGTAACAGTAGGCTTGAATCAAATACATCTGCAGCACCAATGCAGCAGAAGGCAGGGCTGAGAGTGTGGGTCTCACGGCTCCCACAGGCCCTGGACTATCACTCCACCTTCCCACGCTCTCCTCGGGGGCCTGGGGAGGACAACGGCCTCACAGCTGAGCCTGGGGAGCACAAGCCGTGCTCTGCACGATGGCGGCGTCTGCTGTTCATGGTGCCAGGTAACAGATCACTGAGTGATCTTCCATCCTAGTTTCTGTTTCTGCTTAAAAGGAATGAGCATCCTTTAGAATAAAGAACATTTCTACAGCTATAGCAGATTGCAAGAGGGTCCCACAATGACCGATTTTGTCATCTTTCGGGGAAAAAAAGTTTTTTAAAAGCAACATCATGATATTTTTATGAACCTAATCTAATCCACTAGATCTTCCATTTTAGTTTCTGTTCAATCTGAAAACCTGCCCCAAACCCTGAGGTCTATTCCCCACGGAGGGTATACACAAGTATGAGAACACCCAAAGTGCTGGGGAGGCCACGGCTGCGTCTTACACTAGGGCAGGCTCCTGCTGCAGACAGATGTTTCTTCTGATGAACGCCTGCCTCCGTGTGGACACAGGCTGGGCACGGTACAGCAGGCAACCTGGCTAGTAAGCCTTCCCCCCGCTGTCTGCTTGAGGGGCTCCACGAGCTGGCACAGCCACGCAAAGGCAAAGGAGGACAAGGCTGCCCGTCAGTGCGCACTCCTGGAGGCCGCAGGACCCCAGCCAAAGGCTCTCTGGATCTGGGGCGAAGCCAAACCACAGTCCTGGGTCGAGACGCTGTGGTGACGTGTATATTACAGACAGGACAGGTGAGGGGCGGCCTCCGCAGGTCTCCTCTGGGGACACTGTAATGATTCCCCTCAACCTGCAGTACTCGTGGACTCTCAGGTCAGCCGAGGGCTCCTGGCCCCTCGGGGAAGCCCCCACAGCCAGATGGAGAGCCGACGGGAACACAGCCCAGCACATACTCACAGGAGGGAAATCGACCAGATTTCATACCACACTCGGAAAATCAGGACTGAAAGAAGACCGGGTTCAGAACCCACCAAATTAGGAGACTACGTACAGCGTGTGCATAAAACACATGCTTGAACTCACCCCTCCTCCCCTGATTTTTAAAGACATCATTTTGAAACCATGTCTGGATTAGTCTTCACATGTAGTTTGGACGGAAGATGATTCTGTTTATCAAAGTATTTTAGAGGACTCAATAAAACGGACATAACTTTGGTCCAAAAACAGTATTCCAGAAAAAGAATTAGGTGTGGTTTTAACAAACCGCCCTGTTTCCTCCAGCTAGAGGCAGGTGGCCTGAGCCTGAAGGCCAGGGCGACCCCGGGCAGAGGGGAGCGGTGCCCGCAGCTGGGCTCATGCCGCCAAGGCAAGGGCCTGCTCCAGCCCGCACCTGCTCTGACTCTGGACAGGGCCTCGGCCGGGAGGGGCAAGGCAGCTCTCACCCGCCGATCCGCCGAGCACACTAGACCAAAAGAAAGTACTTTTCATGCTTGCATTGTCACATATCCCAAACATGTCTTTCTACAGCTACAGTATTAGCACTAGACAATGTTTTACTACCACACACATACCCACACCTGTGCACATTCACAAGGTAATTAACGTTAACTGGAGCAATACTAGCAACACTCAGCTTCTCCTTTCCTGTGTTGGGGAAGGGAGGAGATGGGACAAAGCCATAAAATAAAGCTATTTTTTCTGAAAATAAACAGTAATGCTGCACTTTAAACTAATGATTCCTAAGAAATCTATTTGCTCAATTCTAGTGTTAATTATACAATGACTATCACAATGATAATATATGTAACAAAAACATGTCATTAGTCTTCTTAATAAGACATGAGTTCTTCCTTGGTAAAACTTTCCATCCAATATTCCCATTTGGCTCAGGTTTTCTAGAGAAAGGGAAATATTTTACTTCAAAAATTATGCTGTACTAAAACAAGCTAGTTGCTTATTTTAAATTTAAAATATTAAGTTGTATGCTTAAAAGTAACCCATGTTCCTGAAAGTTTCCATATTTCACCTTACAGAAAACACTGCATGGTATCATTTATATGTGGAGTTTTTAAAATAAAAAAGAAAGGCAAACCCATAGAAACAGAGAAGAATGGTGGTTGTCAGGGGGTGTGGGAGGGAAGGAAATACAAGGGAATAAATTTATATTCATAAGATCAATGAGACCTGAAGATCTAATGCATAACATAGCTATAGTTGATTATACTGTACTGAATAAATGAAATTTGATGAGAGTAGATTTTAGGGATTTTCACCAAAATTAAATTTGTAAGGTGATGGATGAGTTAAGTTGGTGGTAGGCATCTTTTCAATTACACTTTAATAAAGCTGAAAAAAACATTTAAAGTATTTAACAACTTGTAATTCTAAAAAAAAGATGTCACTGACAAAGAATTAAATGTTCAAAATATACAAACATCTCAATATTAAAAAAAACACAAACAACCCAATTAAAAAAAAGGGCAGATCTAAATAGGCATTTTTACAAAGAAGACATACAATGGCTAAAAAGCACATGAAAAAAATGCTCAACGTAACTAATTATTAAGAGAAATGCAAATCAAAACTACAGGGAAGTATCACCTCACTCCAGACAAAATGGTCATCATCAAAGAGCCCACGAACAATATGTGCTGCAGACGATGCAAAGAAAAGGGAGCACTCCTACACTGCTGTGGCTTCCCAGGGGCGCAGTGGGGAAGAAGCTCCCTGACAAGCAGGAGAGGCGGGCTCAGCCTCTAGGTTGGGAAGACCCCCTGGAGAAGGAAACGGCACCTCACTCCAGTTTCCTGCCTGAGAAATCCCATGGACAGAGGCGCCTGGCAAGCTACAGTCCACGGGGTTACAAAGAGTTAGACATGACTTAGTGACTAAACCACCACCACCATCTACACAGTTAATAGGAACGTAAACTGCAGCCACTATGGAGAACAGTATGGAGGTGCCTTTAAAAACTAAATATAGAACTACCACATGATCCAGCAAACCCACTCCTGTGCATATATCCAGAGAAAACCACCATTAGAAAACATACATGCACTCCAATGTTCAATGCAGCACTATTTACAATAGCCAGGACACGGGAGCAACTTACACATCCATCAACAGATGAATGGATAAAGATGTAGCACATATACACAATGGAGTATTTGTTGTTGCTTAGTTGCTAAGTGATGTCCACCTCTTTTGCAACCCCATGGACCACAGCTTGCCAGGTTCTTCTGTCCATGGGATTTCTCAGGCAAGAATACTGGAGTGGGCTGCCATTTCCTTCTCCACGGGAGTTTCCTGACCCAGGGATCAAACCTGCCTCTCCTTCATTGGCAGGTGGATTCTTTACCACCAAGTCACCAGGGGGGCCCAATGGAATATTACTCAGCCTTTAAAAAGAATGAAATAATGCCAATGGCAGCAGCATGGATAGACCTAGAGATTATCATACCAAGTGAAGTCAGACAGAGAAAGACAAATACCATATGATACCACTTATATGTGGAATAAGTTTATTCCACATGAACTTATAAGAAATAAGTTCATTTACAAAACAGAAACTTATTTACAAAACAGGAACAGACTCACAGACATAGAAAACAAACTTATGGTCACAAAAAGGGAAAGAGAGGGGGAGGGATAAATTAGGGGCTTGGGATTAACATACACACACTACTATGTATAAAACAGACAAACATCTAGGACCTACTGTATAGCATGGGGAACTAGACTCAACATTTTATAATAACCTATAAGAAAAAGGAATCTGAAAAAGAACATGTATGTGTAACTGAATCACTCTGCCATAAACCTGAAACTAACACAACATTGTAAATCAACTATACTTTAATTTTTTTAAAAAAAAGAATAAAGGCAAAAAAAGAAAAGAAAAAAAAGAAATTCCATGTAATGTTAAGAAGGTAAGTCAAAATTTCTTAATCATTGATACTTTTTAAAAATCTTGATCACAGATATTGTCTTCTAAATAATTTTTAAAAAATCATCAAAATAAAAAAGGAAGATTTGCTACAAAATCACTTATTTGTCTTCATTAAAAAAAGAATATGAGTATTGAGTTTGCTAGAATTTCTTGTTCTGCATTTTCCTCCGCCAATGAACACAAATGAACTTATTTACAAAACAGAAAGTACAAAACAGAAGGAAACACTGTCCAGGGCTGGACCGACAAGAGCACAAGAAAAAAGCAACTGGCTTCTAGCACATGTTCACATGCCCACAGTTCAAAAACCTCCTACGGAAGTACTCTGTGGATCACAGGCAAGGCTGAAATAGTTCGATTTTCCCCACTTATTCATTCTAAACTCTGTTTGCCTAAAAAGAGTTAACAAACTTCAGACGCTGACTACTTAGGCTTTGTGAGTCACAGAGTATCTACTACTACCTAGCTGAAAATACTCAACTTGCTTCTGCTGTGGAAAGCAGCCACAAACCATGCTTAAGTGAAAGGAGTGGCTGTGCTCCAAGCATACTTTGTCTGCAAAACAAGCTGCAGGCTTAGCTTGCCAGCTCCTGGCCTGAAGATCAGGAGGCTTTCAAATCTGAAACAACTCAAAATGGAAACTTTCCAAAAAGGAAATACACAGCGATCCTGTAAAAGCACACACTCACACGTACCTGAGCTGGGGGCATGACAGTGGCAGGTAACGGGTTAGAGACCATCGGTCCAAAGATGTCCAGGTCATCGTTCAGGGCTGGCCCCGCGACTGCGCTCCCATTGGTCACTGGCGCCTCGGCAGGCCCATCTGCAAAGAACACAGAGTCTCTTGCTAAAGGTTCTAGAACCTCTTAAAGTACCTGGAACACGGCATTATTCTAAAACTTAACTTATGGTTAAAAGAAAAGTTCAGAAAGTTAACAACAAAATAAGTATGCCCTCCTTTAAAAAACAAACAATATGTATGTGTACATATATATACACACATATATACACACTTCCCTCTTACCCAGGCTCTACTCTCTTTCCCAAAGAAACCACTTTCAGTTTTGTTTGTTCTCAAACAGTTTTTACCCACTGGTTTCTAGATATGTATGCAAACCAGTTTTTCACCAGTGGTACTAGACTATTCACACTTTTCTGTGTCCTGATGCTTCCTTACATGTAAGGTGCTGTTCTAAGCACTTTACACATATTAATTCATCTAATCCCCATAACCGTATGCGGACCGGATGAGACAGACCCACATTTGAAGGAAGAGGCTAAGCTGGGATTTGACACCATGTTCCTACAAATACTGCCTCTTCATAAATGCACATGTGTGTGTTTCCAATAGCATTTCATATCATGTTTACCTAACCTTGGAAGTAAATATTAATAACTTTAAATGTCTAAAATGTTAAAATTTAAAGTTACATAAGGGATACAAAGAAAACAAACATACCCTACATACTGATTCTGTAGGAAGTATCCCCAAAACACTGAAATAAGTCCTTTCTAGAGACATGGTGACCTTCTGCAATGGGGGCAGTGGGCCTCTGGGCGGCGCCAACGCCCCAGATCAGCCCCTGCTCCCCATGGTGGCCTAGAATTTACAAGGTGTGAAGCGGAGTACGGGTGGGATGCAGTGCAGAGTGCTGTGAGACCGGCGTTTCAGGGAGTGGGGCCCGGCACAGCCCAGTCCTCTGTGGGCACGACCTCAAGGAACAGCTCAGAACATCACAACTCCATCTTGGGGACTTACATCCCAATAGAGCTTCCACTTTAACAGCTTCCAATCTCATTATGGAAAATAAGTCCTTTCCATCAGAGGGGACTGGAATGCAAAAGTAGAAAAGTCAAGAGATACCTGGAGTAACAGGCAAATTAGGCCTTGGAGTGAATGAAGCAGGGCAAAGGCTAACAGAGAGTTTTGCCAAGAGAACGCACTGGCCATAGCAAACACCCTCTTCCAACAACACAAGAGATGACTCTACACATGGACATCACCAGATGGTCAATACCAAAATCAGATTGATTATATTCTTTGAGGCCAAAGATGGAGAAGCTCTATACAGTCAGCAAAAACAAGACCTAGAACTGACTGTGGCTCAAACCATGAACTCCTTATTGCCAAATTCAGACTGAAATTGAAGAAATTAGGGGAAGACACCAGGCCATTAACGTATGACCTAAATCAAATCCCTTATGATCATACACTGGTCAAGGGATCTGATTTAATAGAGTGCCTGAAGAATTACGGACAGAGGTTCATGATATTATACAGGAGGTGGTGATCAAAACCATGGCCAAGAAAAAGAACAAAAAAAAGGCAAAAATGGCTGTCTGAGAAGGCCTTACAAACAGCTAAGAAAAGAAGAGAAGCAAAAGGCAAAGGAGAAAAGGAAGGATATACCCATCTGAATGCAGAGTTCCAATGAACAGCAAGGAGACGTAAGAAAGGCTTCTTCAGTGAACAACGCAGAGATAGAGGAAATGGGAAACAGAATGGGCAAGACTAGAGATCTCTTCAAGAAAATGAGAGATACCAAGGGAACATTTCAAACAAAGATGAGTACAATAAAGAACAGAAATGATATGGACCTAACAGAAATATAAGATATTAAGAAGTGGCAAGAATACACAGAAGAACTATACAAAAAAGATCTTAATGACCCAGATAACCACGATGGTGTGATCACTCACCTAGAACCAGACATCCTAGAATGCAAAGTCAAGTGGGCCTTTGGAAACATCACTACAAACAAAGCTAGTGGAGATGATGGAACTCCACCTGAACTATTTCAAATCCTAAGAGATGATACTGTGCAAGTGCTGCACTCAATATGCCAATGCCAGCAAATACGGAAAACTCAGTAATGGCCACAGGACTAGAAAAAGTCATTTCAATCCCAAAGAAAAGCAATGTCAAAGAATGCTCAAACTACCACACAACTGCACTCATTTCACATGCAAACAAAGTAATGCTGAAAATTCTCCAAACCAGGCTTCAACAGTACATGAACCGAGAACTTCCAGATGTTCAAGCTAGATTTAGAAAAGGCAGAGGAACCAGAGATCAAATTGCCAACAACCACTGGATCACAGAAAAATCAAGAGAATTCCAGAAAAACATCTACTTCTGAATCATTCACTACGTTAAAGCCTTTGTGTGGATCACAACAAGTTGTGGAAAATTCTTAAAGAGATGGGAATACCAGACCACCTTACCTGCCTCCTGTGAAACCTGTATGCAGGTTAAGAAACAACAGTTAGAACTGGACATGGAACAGCAGACTGGTTCCAAATTGAGAAAGGAGTACATCAAGGCTGTATAATGTTACCCAGCTTATTTAACTTTGATATGCAGAGTACAGCATGAGAAATGCTAGGCTGGATGAAGCACCAGCTGGAATCAAGACTTCCAGGAGAAATATCAATAACCTCAGATACAGAGATGACACCACCCTTATGGCAGAACATAAAGAGGAACTAAAGAGCCTCTTGATGAAGGTGAAAGAGGAGAGTGAAAAAAGTTGGCTTAAAACTCAACATTTGAGCCAAGATGGCGGAGGAACAGGACGGGGAGACCACTTTCTCTCCTACAAATTCATCAAAAGAATAACCGATCGCAGAGCAAACTTCACAAAACAACTTCTGATCGCTAGCTGAGGTCATCAGGCGCCCAGAAAAGCAACCCATTGTCTTCGAAAGGAGGACACTCCACTGCACTCCAGAGACAAGAAATCAAGTTCCACGCACCAGAACACTGACGCAAGCTTCCCTAACCAGGAAACTTTGACAAGCCAATCGTCCAACCCCACCCACTGGGTAAAACCTCCAGAAGAAAAAGGAACCACAGACCTCCAGAATACAGAAAGCCCACTCCAGACACAGCAATCTAAACAAGATGAAAAGGCAGAGAAATACCCAACAGGTAAAGGAACATGAAAAATGCCCACCAAGTCAAACAAAAAAGGAGGAGCTAGGGAATCTACCTGAAAAAGAATTTAGAATAATGATAATAAAAATGATCCAAAATCTTGAAAACAAAGTGGAGTTACAGATAAATAGCCTGGAGACAAAGATTGAAAAGATGCAAGAAATGTTTAATAAAGACCTAGAAGAAATAAAAAAGAGTCAATTAAAAATGAATAATGCAACAAATGAGATCAAAAACACTCTGGAGGGAACCAAGAGTAGAATAATGGAGACAGAAGATAGGATAAGTGAGGCAGAAGATAAAATGGTGGAAATAAATGAAGCAGAGAGGAAAAAAGAAAAAAGAATGAAAAGAAATGAGGACAACCTCAGGGACCTCTGGGACAATGTGAAACACCCCAACATTCGAATCACAGGAGTCCCAGAAAAAGAAGACAAAAAGAAATGCCATGAGAAAATACTCGAGGAGATAATAGCTGAAAACTTCCCTAAAATGGGGAAGGAAATAGCCACCCAAGTCCAAGAAACCCAGAGAGTCCCAAACAGGATAAACCTAAGGCGAAACACCCCAAGACACATATTAATCAAATTAACAAAGATCAAACACAAAGAACAAATATTAAAAGCAGCAAGGGAGAAACAACAAATAACTCACAAAGGGATTCCCATAAGGATAACTGCTGATCTATCAATAGAAACCCTCCAGGCCAGAAGGGAATGGCAGGACATACTTAAAGTAATGAAAGAGAATAACCTACAACCCAGATTACTGTACCCAGCAAGGATCTCATTCAGATATGAAGGAGAATTCAAAAGCTTTACAGACAAGCAAAAGCTGAGAGAATTCAGCACCACCAAACCAACTCTTCAACAAATGCTAAAGGATTTTCTCTAGACAGGAAGTGCAGAAAGGCTGTATAAACACGAACCCAAAACAACAAAGTAAATGGCAACAGGACCACACCTATCAATAATTACCTTAAATGTAAATGGGTTGAATGCCCCAACCAAAAGACAAAGACTGGCTGAATGGATACAAAAACAAGACCCCTATATATGCTGTCTACAAGAAACCCACCACAAAACAAGAGACACATACAGACTAAAAGTGAAGGGCTGGAAAAAAATATTTCACACAAATGGAGACCAAAAGAAAGCAGGAGACACAATACTCGTATCACATAAAATAGACTTTCAAATAAAGGATGTGAAAAGAGACAAAGAAGGATACTACATAATGATCAAAGGATCAATCCAAGAAGAAGATGTAACAATTATAAATATATATGCACCCAACATAGGAGCACTGTAATATGTACGGCAAACGCTAACGAGTATGAAAAAGGAAATTAATAGTAACACAATAATAGTGGGAGACTTTAATATCCCACTCACAACTATGGATAGATCAACTAAACAGAAAATTAACAAGGAAACACAAACCCTAAATGACACAATGGACCAGCTAGACCTAATGGATATCTATAGGACATTTCACCCCAAAACAATCAACTTCACCTTTTTCTCAAGTGCACACAGAACCTTCTCCAGAATAGATCACATCCTGGGCCATAAATCTAGTCTTGGAAAATTCAAAAAAATTGAAATCATTCCAGTCATCTTTTCTGACCACAATGCAGTAAGATTAGATCTCAATTACAGGAAAAAAATTGTTAAAAATTCAAACATATGGAGGCTAAATAACACGCTTCTGAATAACCAACAAATCATAGAAGAAATCAAAAAAGAAATCAAAATATGCATAGAAATGAATGAAAATGAAAACACAACAACCCAAAACCTATGGGACACTGTCAAAGCAGTGCTAAGGGGAAGGTTCATAGCATTACAGGCTTACATCAAGAAACAAGAAAAAAGCCAAATAAA